ATATATATATATATATATATATATCGTCTTAAATAGGTTTATTAGTGATTAAAACATATATTCATGGAGGTGCATTAAGCACCACATACAGCGAATACAAATATATAAAACCACGCATGACTAATATGCATTAAACACTAAATGCATCAAATAAAATTACAACCAAATATTTTTAACTTGTAATACCTTCACGATTGTGCTCTTGCCAGAGCCGCATGAGCCAACGAGGAGAACGGCTCTTCCTCTTTTGCAGAAAAGTTCATTAACGTAGTTGATACTGAAAGACAATAAACAACTAGTCACGGCTAATGCTCAAAAGTACCAATTTGCCAGTAACCCCAAATTACCCGACGCAGACCTAAAACCCAAACGCTTAATAATAAACCAACAAATACTTGGTTTTGCTTGGTTTTGTAGCTGGCAGTTCATAATAGATGCAAATACACAAACGATCGCAAGTTAGAAGGCAAATAGAGAGTAAATAAAGTAATATCATTTAAGAAACAACACGAGGCTGTAATTCGTCAGTACGGAGAGTCTCTAAACCCTAAATACTAAACGCCTAGTCCGTAAACCCGAAACTCCAATCCCTCACTCTCACACCATAAGCCGCAGACCGTGAAACCCTAGACCCTAAACCCTAATGGCGCACCGAATAATACTTGTTGTGGAAACGATGATTTTGTTGAAGAGCATTTCGGTGACGGGCTCATAAGGCTTTAATTGCGAACTCCACGGCACCCACTGACACGTCTTCTCTTCAAAGAAGTAATCGAAACAAAGACCGCCTTCAGGGAATTTAATGCGAGCGGCTGCCCTTAGCCAACTGCTAAACTGAGACCTGAAAACACAACAACGCATGCATGGGAGTAAATGAAGGGTTTAATATGGTTTAGGAGAGTGTCGTAGATGCTGGAAGCAGGTGCACTTCGGGTTTTTCGGGCGGCTTTAAACATGTTGCATCCAACAGAGAACTTAAGGTCAAGAAGGGCATAGCAGCTGCTGCATCCAATGATGAGTATGGTTTAGCTGCATGCGCACGTGCAGTTAGGGTTTAGAGTTTAGATACGAGAGCAACACAGCCGACAATAAGGGCTTAATACATAAAAAATAAACGTGTTGCATTGGAAGTACTGTTGAATTCTGTCCTATACTTAATGGTTCCCACATCATCCCAATTCATAAAACTACATTTAAGAATAAATATGATGAAATTAAATGATATGGAGAAAAAGGAATCGAACGATAAACTGAGCGATAGAGAGTGCGGGTTTAGAAAGCAAGTGTGGTACGATTGAGTTTTTGAAACAATGGATAAGAAAGCCACAGAAAGAAAGATATTAAAAACAATACGATTCAGCGAGATAGGGGACGAGTTCTTAGACCTTGAAGCTTTCAAACGAATGGAAGGGTTCAATACTATATTACTGGATTTCAGGGTATATGGTTTAGGGTTTCAGTTTAGGGTCTCCCATAGAATGACCTGTAGTTGACGGCCTTGTCGTCTGCTACGCATCCGCCAACGGTCCACATAAGAGCGGAGAGAAAGAAGCCCTCATAAGTCAGTTTTTGTTCTTCGACACTTTTTTGTTTAAATGCTTCTGCAGCCGCTTTGTCTCTATTCAACAAAGAATCCACGAAACAGCAAATTCCATCCACAAACGCAATGTCCGTCATCGGACACACAAACTTAAACGTCCGCCGAAACATGTCTATATTCTGCTCACACCCGCAAAAGCACAAAATCCAAGTCCTAAACCCTGAACCCTAAAACCCTAGACACTATAGACTAAACGCTAAACAGTATGTCCAATATCCGGACCCCTAAACCGTACACCCTGAACCCTAAGCCGTGAGCACAAAGCCTCAACCATAGACCATAAACAATAAACCCTGACCCCTAAATCCTGACCCCTCAAACCATAGATACTATACCATTAACCCTCAGCCCTGAAACCCCAAGCTTGAACCACCAAGCCTAATCCCCTAACCCAAGAGCCCCCGGAAAACCCTACTTAGCTTCTAAGGCGTAAAAGCGAATCCTTAAGGTCTGTACACTAGGAGATACTCTCTATGCTCTCATTCCAAACTAATTAAAGAGGGCCTCACATGCTGAACCATAAGCTGGGGTAAACCCTAAACGAAAACTGCTGGCCATATCCCATAGAACGTAAAATCTAGGCAGCAAATCCTAGCCTGTGGACCCTAAAGGCGGTATAAAGGGTTTGTATTTGCACGGAAGTTGAGATGCGTGGTTTGTTTACGGATTCGAAATAGTAGGAGAAGAGCAAGTAGAACTGGGACTGAGCCACCTGGTCGGAAAGGGTTTCTCTCCAAGAGTCAACGAAGGGTTTCCACCCCACGTCTGTCTCATTTATAAAAACAACCCCACCTCTTGAGACCGTCGCGGGACTTGCATGCTTCATATCGGCGATTTCAAAGATCATGCGCATCGTTGGAGTGAACGGGATGCGCTCGTTGCTTACTAACGTCAACACCTGCAACAAAAAACAAACATAACACAAACACAAATACCAATGCAAATGCAACGAAAAATAAACGCGACACAACACAACGGGCTCACGGGCGAGCCGTGCGCTCGCAATAAACCCTAAACCCTAAACCTGGACTACCGGTGAAATCCCTGCCCGAATATAGTGCACCAGCCAGTTGCACGGACATTTCATCTCTAGAGCTAAGCACAAGGGTCTAGGGGTTAGGCTCTAGGGTTTTGGCTTTAAGGCGTAGGAATTTGGTTAGGATTTCATTGAGGTGCGCCGTCTATGAACTCCAGGGGGCGCCATAGGGTTTGCAGTTTACGGAATGAGATGTTGGGTATAGGGTTTACGGCGTGCGGCTTAGGGTGTGTGGATTAGGGGTTGGGGCTTGTGAACTATGGTTTAGGGCGTGTGGGTTAAGGTTTATTCCTTGCTCATAAGCAGGGTTCGGCTAGCCATTTGTGTCATATACTTTATTATCGTCCATGACTGTGTTCATGGATTCAATCCATTCTGCGTCAATGTCTCCGTCAAGAACGATCCATTTGTGCAAATGAGAAGGTTTAAACCCTCCTCTTTCTTTCGACATGTTCCGCATTATCACCGCCACAGCCCCGTCTTTCCACTCCTTTGCCGGCGTCATATACCTGCAGGAACACACATATCCGTACATGTATGCATTCATGCCTGTAAACGGGCCTCTAGAGAAGCATAATACTAACGTTCTCCCTTGTACACACTGCATGCATGTATGCATACAGACTTGTACCCTGCTTGGTGCATAAGGATGACTAGTGGCAGCCTTTGTATAAATCCGTCTGTATGCCAGTGTATATGCATTTATACATATATTTTTATATATATCTATATGCATCTATATATCTATATATACTTATTGATATGTTCCATATGTAGATCTATGTAACGATATATATAACATCATAGTGTGCGTGCATACATAATTAAGTATGTGATATATATATATATATATATATATATATATATGTGCAAATATTATGTATACTTCATCTATACATTAAAAACTGCAGGCAGTTTTACCCGTAGAGTTCATTTGTGGAGATGGCTTTGGGGTTCAGGACCTCGACGACTCCGTCTTCGCCTATTGCCTTCAGTGCCTTTGACAGAGTTTGCCACACGCGAGATTTGCTGGCACCAGGAGGCCCCAAAATGAACAAACAGTGGCGCACCTGCATGTGCAAATGCATGCATACAAAAATACATGCATAATCGCACAAATGCATGCATGCAGAAGTGCACATATCTCGGGAATGCGTAATGGTAGAAGAACATGCGTTCAAAGGAAGGGATGGTGCATGCAACTGGCACTGCCGGATGTTGTTTGCATGCATGCACTGTCCTGCATGCATGCGAGAGTCTTCGTGCAAAGCAGCAGCAATACTCCTTCGTCAGCAAAAGAAAAACGGAGAATACAAGATATACACGGCACGGAGTCAATCGATGCGCAAACAATAACTTTACACCAAGCACTAAACACCAGGAGAACAAACGGCTAAGCACACAAGCAGTAAACACATTCTAAGGCCACCAGCGGCAGCTGACAGGTTTGAAAGGCCTGCATGTTCTCTATATACAAATATATGTATGTATATATATGTATGCATCTATATATATCCACATATATATATATATATATATATATATATATAAATAAACCATGTGTATACACCTCAAACAAACGCTCAGATATATCTATATATAAATAGATATTCAGTGCAAACAGAAGAAACACACGTATATATATATATATATATCTATATATTTGTAAGTTTGTAAACATATAAATGATACGTATGGTGATCTTACTTGCAGCACTTCTCTGACTTGTACGCACTTGAGGATGAACTGCTCTTCGCACTGAAGTTTTTGCGCTTTTGCCACTGCCATAACAACCTTCCAGAAGTCGACGTCTCGCTTAGGCGGAGACACCACCCCCGGAAACAAATCCTCAATCAAACGAAGAAAGATAGGCTTGTCTGCATGCAAACATGCACGCATGCAGGCATGTATATATATATATATATTATATATATATTACACAAGCAAACGCATATATATATATATATATACATATAGGAGTACCTTCCGTAGTGATTTTGGCGATATTGAAGTCTCTAAGTGCCCTCATGAGCAGCGTGTCTTCATCAACATTTGGGTCTGCTCGTTTGAGTGCTCCCGCCTGTCTAAGTACGGCTTTTACCGCTCTAAGTCCCCAGTCGTAGTGCTTCGCATCTGACAGAAGAGTCTTGCAGAGGCTGTACAGCGTAACGAACTTGTGCGCCAGAGCACGCGCACACACAAAGCCCTCCGACATCAACATATTCTCGCAAATAAATAATACGTCCGGGACGATCATGGCGCAGGGCCTGAACAAACACAAACATTACCCATCAACGCTCACAGCGTACGACGGCCAAGCCAACAATACATATATATATGTATATATATATATATATATATAGATGTATATACATGCTCTACATAAACGTAATTATATATATATATATTATCTGCATTTGCAAAAGTATGCGCACACTATCTATTTCTCTATATATATTGTATCTATGTGTGTGCGCGGGCGGCTGTAGTGAGGTACTCATTTTTCACGTTGTAATTATATAATATACATATACATACTATCTATATGTATTATATGCATGTGCATAGTATGTACGTATTTATACATATAGACCCCTGCATGCATGCATATATAGTTTCTGCCTAAGCACGATTAGCGGGGCGAAGAATGAATATAGTAGGGTGACCTGAATAGGGCTTTTAGGTTTTCTGGTAGTTCTGTTCGCCCCGCGTAGCCGGGGTTCATCGTGATGAAGAGCCCGCAAGTATGGATGAGGTTGATTTCTTCATCCATAAATTGGAATTTCTTTTTTCCGTCTTTTATTGCATCTAGAATGCATTTGACTTGAGTAGAAACGACGGAAAGGACTTCAATAGATATGCGATTGAACTCATCAAAGCAGCCCCAAGCACCCGATTGAGCTAAACCCATGAAGATCTGTGCCATAGACAAGTAGTTCATTTGGTCCGAGCAGTTAAAGACAAAGACAGGAAGCCCTATTGCACGGCTTAAGTCTTTTGTTGTCTCCGTCTTTCCTGTTCCTGCAGGCCCCGCAGGGGCCCCCCCCATGTTCAGGTTCAGCGCCTGTGTAAGAGTAATATAACATCGATCTGTCAGAGGCGTTATCACTAAACGCCCGCAGTTTCCAACAAACTCGTGCATATAACAAGAAGACCAATCGCAAATCCTTATCATGCAGTCCTTCTTCGCCTCCCCAGCTTTTTCCAACCAGTAGAAACGTAGCTGAGACTGCCATTGAAATGATGATGCTGCAGCAGTGCAACGCAAACCGCAGAGGAACAACACACACTGCAGCACCAATACAATACACACTGCGCACTGCAACAGCTAAACAGCAGAAGCTGCAGGAGCAAAACAGCAGAGGCTACAGCACCAAACAGCCAGAAGCTGCAGCAGCAAGACAACACAAGCCGCAGCAGCAAACAACTGTCTTGCCTTCAGTGATTTTTTTTGCGATGAAGCTTTCGACGACATCTCTGAGGTGTACATCGACCGTAATGAGAGTAATGATTTTGACTCGGAGATTTTTGTCGAGGTCTTGTTGAACTTGGCGAATGAGTTTATCGATTCTGTCTTCGTACACTTTCTTGTAGTCCTTCATTGCATTTTCGGAGCCCCCCTCAAGCTCTTCAAAGCAACGCGTCACTTCTTCTGTCCAGGTTATTTGACTCGCCACCAAGCAAACTTGGCTGCAGTAATCTCTCACCCATTCTTCTCTGCAGCAGCAAAAGAGATTCAGCGCATGCGGTTTAGCAGGTTTATGGGGGAGGAGAAGATTTGCCAATACACCGCTGGTTTGGCTTCTTGCGGTTGTTCTCAATTATTCTGTTCCGTTTGCAATTATTGGAAATCACATGCCACGCAAACATGCTCAAGAAACTGCACTTTTGCGTTTACCTTGGCTTTTCAACTTCCCAATTTTCTGCAGTCCCCTTCGCCACCTCCAAAATATCCCGCATTTGTTTGCGCATGTGAACCTCAAAATTCGAAAGATACTGAAATACACAAAACAATAAATAAATAAATAAGTACATGCATACATATGTATATGTATATGTACATGCACATATATATGTATATATGGATGCATATCTACATTTATATATTGTGAAATCGCAAAAATGCATGTATACAGATTTGCATATACATAGATCTACATATGCACATAAGTATGCATATGCATATATATATATATATATATATTTATACATCTATATATGTATGTGCAGGCGAATATAAAAAAATATATATATATGTACATACATAAATATAAATATATGCACACATATATGGTTATATATATTTGCCTATATATAAAATGTTTTAGATGCAACTCTATACATTTATATGAAGTTGCATCTATACACTTGTAGTCGTCTAGTGCCTATCAATGCATTTTACGCTTTACGTATTCAATAGTACCACAAACCGTAAACCTTAAACCCTAAACCCTAACCGCCAAACCGTAAACCCTAGCTATGGAGTTTATAGCATACGGTTTCAACAGGCCCCTCGATGATATAGTCTTCAGCGAAGGGAACATATTCTCCTTCTTTGCTGTACATTCCACTTGCAATGCGGCACGTTTGAGGGTTTTTTTCAAAATTTAAAGATGCAACGCCATCAAAACAATCCCCTAAATAATACGAAACCTTTAATGGGTCATTTCCGTTTGCTAGGATGTCGAGCAAAGCCTGATTCGAAACGAAGTAAAAACGAGCAAACGCCTTCTTCTTCTGTTCCAAGTAGTCTGAAGCACACACAGAAAAACCCTAAACTCTAATCTTTAAATCCTAGGACAGAGGGTTTCTTCTGTCAAGCTAGAACAGAGCAATGAGAGAGAGGCCTCTCCACCTGGCGGAGGTTACGTCCTTGCTGCACTTGCTGCTGTTGATGTCGCTGTTGCCGTTGCTATTGCTGCTGCTTGCTCGTTCCGTCATGTGTTTTTTGCCTTTTCCTTTCTACGGTTTAGAGTTTTGTAATGAGGTGTATATATGTGTGTTTACTTGCCCCCTAATGCCTTTTCGCATGATTCAATATTGTCCCTGAGTTTATTTAGAATTTCCTCCCGGCCTTCTGCTTGGCAGGCCTCAACAACATTGTTGTGCTGCTGCGCTGCATACATCAAGTCCCTCCACTCGCCGTCAGCAGATTCAAATCGCTTCGACTCTTGAGGCAGTTGGGACCGAATATCTTCTGAATGCATAAAAATAGGCTGCAAACGCTAGACACAACACCAACAAAAAGCAAGCACACACAGGCGCTGCAGCAGCAGCGGCAGAAACACCAGCAGCAGCACGAACAGCAAAACCAGCGGTGGAGGACTCAGCCAGAGCAACACGGGGTGCAGCAGCAAGCCAGCAGAAGGGGCAACAGCGGATGGAACAGCAACAGCAGCAAACGCAGCAACGCAGCAGCAAGAGCAACAGCGGATGCAGCAACGAAACAGCAGCAGCATTAGAGAAAAGGCAGCAACAGCAACGACTGCAGTAGTACACAAGGAGAAGCTCAGCCCAGCAGCAGCAGCAAAACGAGCAGCGGGAGAGTAGAATGGAATTGACGCAACAACCGTGGATGCAGCGGCACCAGTAGCATCATCATCAGCATCACCGTCATCAGCAGCAGCAGCATGATAATCAGCACAGCAGCGTTATGATTAAGATCAGCATTAAGAGTATTATTATGCTTACCTCCCACTTGCGTTGCACTTCCATCCACACGGTGAGCACGGAATCGACTTTTCGGAGTTTGGCTTGCCACTCTTCGACAGCATCTCTACAGAAGTCGATGAGAGCGCCTTGGCTTGTGATAGTAATCAGATCAACAGAATGCTGTTCTAGAGTTTCAATGGTATCATCAAGAGGCAGCAGCAGCGGTGTATCTTCGTGTTGTAGCGAGAAAGCCAAATTCTTCTCCCCCCATATACTCGCTATCTCCCTCAACTTCTTGTCTATTCGCGCCTCCTTCTGGGCACATACGACGATCTCGGAGACGTCAGCAGCACGCGCATGCAGGTTAAGTCTAAGCAAATCATCTAAACAGAAATTGGGGCCTGAGGGCACCAGTAAATAAACAAGTAAACAACGAAAAAGGCAGCTTCATTGCAGGAAATGAACACCTCTTACAACAGACTGCATAAAGCAATGAAGAAGTTCAATAGGAAACGAACGAAGTCGCAGATGCGAAACCCACGTACATATTAAAAAGCATAATAATAGATGAGTAAGTGAATTAATGATTAAACTAATAAACTAATAAAAGAAATAATATACAAACCGACGAATATGTAAACAAGTGAAAATAGGAACCAATGAATACATAAAGTAATAAAGACACAAGCGAATGAATATATGAAAACGTAAATACCTATAATAAACAAACAAGCAAATAAACGAATATACACCAAAGGGGAAGAAACCGGAGACGTGCAACTTTGCATTTCGATCAAAACGAAAAAACGAAAAAAACAAAAAGAAACAAAAAAGACATACGGGAGAGGAAAATGTTAAACAAAGAAACAAACACAGCTGATTAGGGCTCACGCAAACAAACAATAAACAAACCAAGCGGACAAACTGACAAACAAACGCATAGTCACAGCCAAGCAAAACAACAAACAGAAACGGACGAACACGCATAAACTAACAGACAACCGCAAACCAGCGAACAAAAAAAAACAGGAACGAACAAGCGGAAAACAAACAAAAGGAAACCAACCAACCAATCAACAAATAAAAGCAAATCAAGCAACAAAAATACAAGCAAAACAAACAAAAAAATGCTGCTAAACAAAGAGAGGGAGGACCTATACGAGCGCTGAGCGCACGACTGGGCCGTGCAGCACCGGCAGCAGATGAAGAAGAGAAGCGACGACAGCTCAATAGAACAAAGATAAGGAAATGAAGAACAAAAGAAGATAAACAAACCTATTGTGAATGTCTGCCCCGCTATATTCATCAGTTGCTTCCAGTGCCTCTCCCGCATAAACTCCGAATGCAACTCCGAGACAAGAGGCAGCACCACTTGCATGTTGTTTACGCGCTCTAACACAGCCTGACCGTTTAAAACAATAAATGCATCAACGGTATTTGCTTTTCTTGTTTGTTTATGTCCTTGTTTCTTGGGGTGGTTGTTTGCTTATACGCTTATTTTGATTCTTCGTGTGCTTGGTTTCGTGTTCGCTTCTTTGTTTATCTTTTTGTTCGTTTGTTTCCTTTCTGTTTGTTGTTTTGCTTGTTTGTTTGCTCGGTGCTTGTCCTTGTATTTTGTTTGGTGTGCGTTTGTTATTTTGTTTGTTTGTCTTGTTTTGTTTGCTTGTTATTTGCTTGTTTGCTTGCTTGTTTTACTTCTTTGTTTGTTAATGTTTTGTTTGCGGCAAATGCGCTGCTGCACCGCCTCCACGTGTTGCAGCTTTCTATATTGTGTTTGTGTAAAAGGCACCACATATATATATATATATATGTATTTACTTATTTATCTCTTTTTTTCAGGTTAGCTGCTTACAGCGTATACTTTAGTGCTTTTAATTTCTTTTGATAGCCCTCGAATGTGCTGCTGCATCGCCTTTACGTGCTGCAGCAGTAACTCCGTGTCAATCGTTTCCCATAGGGTTGCCTTCCACGCCTCAAACCAACTGCTGACGTAGACACTCAAGTCCCACGCCTCCTGTAGCAAACCAAACGAATACATTAATTAAATAATTAAGTTAGCAGTTAACTAATTGTCAATTAATACTAAAGAAATGGTTCTGTACATATATGAATACATATATACATGTACAGGCATATACCTATATATATATATATATCTATACATATATATATATATATATATATATCTATACATATATATATATATATATATATATTGAGTTCACTCAAGTCCAATGTCTCTTGAAGAAGACAGGTATGTAAATAAATTAATAAATGTTAACGAACCCATAAATAAATGCACGGGTGATACATAACAATAAACAGGCAAGCAAGCAAATAAACAGATTATTCAATGAACAAATAAATGAAAATAGATATACAAATACATAAATGTGGAAATAAAGGACTAGTTTGTAAACAATTAATGCGAGAACAAAGCAATAAACAGATAAACAAAGAAATGCATTAAAAAAACATGAATAACCAAGTATTTGTGTAGGCAAATATATGAATAAACAAATAAGCGGAGAAACAATTAGGCGAACGAACTTAAAACCGACAAACGCGAATCTTTACTTGCTTTTATTTTTTATCTGCTTATTTATTTTGGTTTTATGTTTATTTATATCTTTCTATCTTTGTTTGGCTGTGAATGTGTGTGTGTGTGTGTGTGTGTGTGTGTGTGTGTGTGTGCGTGTGTGTGTGTGTATTTTTTCCCAGAGAGTTTGGGTTGCAGCCTTTTTTCTGCCGTATATTTATTTCATACACACATATTTATGCACTGTGTTGTTCGTATGTTCATTTGTACACTAATTTACGCATTTATTTATTTGTCAAGATGTTTGAAAGTATTTTTGGCCTCAGGAGGTTTGAGTTCTTCTTTGCAGTCTTTGAGCTCTTTATGTTGGGATAATATATATATATATATCTTGTGCGTCTATTTATTCTTTATATGTTTATATATATATATATAGATTTATTTATTTATTTGGTGTATGCATTTTCCTTGCCTTAAGAGTTCTGAGTTCTTCTTTGCAGTCTTTGAGTTCTTTGTGTTGGGACTTGGCGATATCGAATAACGTTTCGAGGTTATTTAGATCTTTTGCTTGTTGTTCGAGTTTGAGGCACTTTGCATAGAATTCATCAATGGCATTATATGCGTTTTCAGGGTTTGTTGTGGGATCAGCGGCAGGGATACGTAAGAAATTTGTTTGATATTCCTTAACGGCAGCAAGGAAGCCATCTAATGCTGCTTTTATATTCAATACTTCTGCATTTTGAAGAGGTAATATGGCCTCTTTCGCCTCAAATGCCTTTCTTATCACCTCCTCCCATCGAGACGGAGCCGCATCCAGCGCTTGCAAACGACACTCCGGCACCAAACAACCGTGCTTCTTTAATAGCGCTACCTGGAACAAAAATGCATATATATATATATATATATATATATAAATATATATGTCTATGCATATATGGATATATATGCGTATTAGCGCATATATATATATATATTGCATGCAATTGATAATTTATATTGGTTTATATATAGGTGTGCCTAGATATATATATATATATATTTACATATATATATATATATATATATACGCTAGCGTATATATATGCATGAGCACTTCTACAAATACACAGGGGTGACGCACCCGGCTGGCCTCTGGAGTGCCTGCGGATTTACTGTTTACGCTTTACGGGTTAGGGTGTAGGGATTAGGGGTTGTGCGTGCCTGTTCATGTACGGGTCCCAGGAGTCGTTTGATGGGATCGTTTGCTATTTTGACATCTCTTATATACGTCATGAATTTATAGAGGGTGTCTTTATTGATGTTTATTTCTTTTGCTTCCGCCTCAGCCCCCTGCTGCTCTTGACTGTTGCTGCTGCTACTGCTGCTGCTGCTGCTTGTTGTATCTTCTTCTTCGCTCTCTGCTGTTGGCGGCTTTACTGAAAGGCATTCGTTCATTCTCATAATGAATTGGGTGAGTGCGTCTGCTCTCGCGAGGCAGCAGCTAAGAAGGAACTCTGTATAATGAGAAGCCCATGCAGAGGCCAATTGGCTCAGTTGTATTTTTGCTGGTTGTGCATTCACTCTTAGCCAACAAACATCTACTGGAGTACGTAACTCCGCTACTTCAGAACGCAGACCCTCAAAAAATGATATCCTCTCGTCAAAACACGTTAGGTCCGGAATCTGCACATGCAAAACAGCATAAGCAGCAGCACCAGCAGCAGCACCAGCAGCACCAACAGGAGCACCAGCAGCAGCGGGAGCAGCAGCAGCAGCAGCAGCAGGAGCAAGAGCAGCAGTAACTAGATAGATAGGTTTCCATGCAATCAGCCAGGTAGTTAGCTTGTTGTGTCATCAGGTGGCCAGCCAGCTAGCTCGCGGTGCATCTGGCTAGCCAGCTAGCTAGCCAGCCAGCTAGCTGGTGTTCACAGCTAGCTGTCTTTATCTAGCTAGCTGCTGTCTGTAGTTGGTAGCTAGCCACGAACTAGCGCAGGGTGAATGGCTCACTCTTCTTCCCAAGTCGACGCCTACGAGTTCAAGTACATTTTCAAGAGTTTCTCCTTCTTCTTCTATAGAAGGAAACACTTCTTTAGGAGACTCACTAATAAACTCTTCTAAGTCATTTTGGGGGTCTTTCTTCCAGAGGAATTCAAATCGACGCGTCTCAGCCAAATATTCATTCAGTCGTCTTTCTGTCGACTCCAGCAACTCAGTAAGACGAGCGCGGCCAGCCTATAGGGAAACGGACAACAGCAAAAAAAGAACCGTACAGCAGTTGCAGCAGCAGCTGCGGCAGCAAATCAGCAGCAGCAGCAACAGCAGCAACGGAAGGAAGGAAGCGGAGAAGTGGGACACATGCTCCGGCTTGCTGCTATTCTTTAGAGGAAAGTGAAGTGCAGAGGCTGGGGAGTACACAAGCCCTAAACCCTAGATCCTAAACCGTAAGCCCTAAGCTATTAACCCCATGGGAATCAACTCATCCTAGGTTGTAAACAAACAAAAGCTCCAACCCTAAACCCTAAGAATTAAAGCCATGGTATGGCACCAAACTCACACGGCCCGCAGCACCAACATAAGCCTAAACCCTAAACACTAAACACTAAACCGTAATCCCTAACCCACAATCCCTATCTCCCACCTCAAAACCCGTAAACCTTAGACCGTAAGCCAAAACCCTAGACCCTAAACACTAAACCCTCATTCTCACCATGAAGCTGTAAGACTCCTTGACGTCAGCGACGTAATCCCCTTTCCCTGAGTCGAGGCGCGTTGTTGTTGCTGCACTTTTTAGGATATCGCCGACCCATCCCTCAACAACTTTGCAAATACCCCTGTTATTAGAAAACAAAAAGAGGCATTATAAACAGAAAAAAAAAGAATGTGCCGGTTTAGAGTTTGGGATCTAGGGTTTAGCTACACCCTAAACCATAAACAACAAACAAACCAACTTGCTGGACCTCCTTTCAGCAAAAAGAAACAAAAACAGCCGTATGCTGCACTAATAATGGCGTCTCCAACCAACTAAACCCCAAACCCTAAGCTCTGAACCTTAAGCCCTAAATCCTAGACCTTAAACCGTAAACACTAAACCCTAAACCCTCAACCATAAACCGTAAACCCTACTCCGTAGTCCTTAATCCTAATCCCTAATAGCTTGAACCCTAAAACCGTCAGCCCGAAGCCCTAATCCCTACGCCATAAACCCTTAAGCCGTAAACCCCAAACTCTAAACACTGCTTTTACCCGTGCTGATCTCTGAAGGACGGGACGATATCCATTTCATTGTCTAATAACTCCAACTTCACTTCAAAAAGCGGGGAGGCCTCAGGGCGGGGGCTCATAGCTGTCCGTACACACGAGAGAAGAGCGAAGAAAGCGAGAGAGAGAAAAAGCAAAAAACAACAAAGCCAACGCAAGATGAAAAAACAAACAAAATCGAAATTAAATAAAATTTAATGTTTAACTTGACTAATTTGAATTAACGCTCTTATATTATTATTCAGATCAAAGAGAAAAGCCAGGAAAGGAACCAGCAACAAAATATATATTCTCCGAGCAAAACGAACAAGCAAACAAAACACAAATGCAAACAAAAGCAACGCAATCCTTAATAAAGCAAGCAGCAAAAAAACAAACACAATAATGCGCAGCGAGGAAAAGCACGGCAACCGAAATAGAAGATAACCCAAAACCCTAAGCCCTAAAAGTAGAAAACAAACAAGAAATACAATACACACCACGCACTTAGATCGAAGTAGAAACAAGCAAACAAAACGGCAACGAAAGAAGGAAAAGGAAAACAAGCGAAACAAATACTATTAAACAATTGCTCAACATGTTGAAGCATAGAGTTTAGGGTTTGGGGGGTACTGGCTTCTAAAGTCTTGACGAGCTGCTCGAGCGAGCCAACAGCAACAGCAGTAAAACCCTCACTAACCGCAGCACTAACAAAATGCGCATGCGCCTTCCACTGGCTCATCCCTGCAACGCAGAGGGTTTAGGGATTATGGTTCTATGTGAGTGTGTTGTGCGTTTAGGGCTATGTTTGCAGTATTTATACATATATATATATATATATATGTATGTATATATCTACCCCTACGTAGAATTATTGTTGTGCTATTTTTAGTTCTATTCCTTTCGGTAAATGTCTTCAGTACATATGTACGAATATCTATATATATGTCTATACATATGTATAGGCATATATATGTCTATATATCTCTATCTTTCTCTCTCTCTCTCTCTCTCTCTCTCTATATATATATATATATGTGTATATATATACACCTTTTGTGGCTTTGAGTGCATCTGCGGAATCCTTGAGCATTTTATGGAGTTCTTTTCCCTCTTCTGCTATTTGGTGGCTCTTGTTTGCAATTGCCGCTTTAACGAGTTGCTCCACATCTTCAACTGCCATGGGCTTTGCCTTGCGTTCAAATAAAGGTCTTTCACTCCAACTGCTGAGAAGACCTGCAGCAGGGGCGTAGTTGGGGTGTACGTACACCCCAAATCATCACTCCATGCAAACACTGCCACTCATCCATGCAGAGAAGGCAAATACATATTAGAACAAACCAAGAAGAGAACAGCAAACAAACACAAGACCCCAAAAGAACAAACGAAACGAATGAATGAAGAACAAAAGGAATGCAAAGAAGGAAATACACCGCAACACCCTTATATCTATCCACTGTCAAGTGCTCTTGCATGCATGCAAACATGCATGCACACATGCATGTTTGCAAGCAGCATGTAAGGAGCATGCATGCATGCATGCAAGCCCCTCGTAACATGCATACATGCATGCATGCATGCATGCATGAGGGCGAATGCAGTGAGTTTTAAAAGTAGATAATGAAGGAGCGAGCCATAAAGAGGATAGAGAAGACGAAGAAGAAGAATAGAAAGAAAAAACGTGCTTCGCACTGAAAGATGTTTGTAGGTTGTTGGTAATGGAGTTGCAGACGGAGAAGACATCCGCAACAGCAGCAGCAGCAACAGCAATAAACTCATCCACTCCTTCGCTCTCCCAACTTAAACTCGTGAGACCCGGCTCTATTATCTTATCGATTTCTCCAAGACGGTCTGCTAGCAAAGGGCGCTGGTTTGGCAGCAAACCAGTTAACACCTGTATATATACATACACACACACATGATACTACTGCTGCTGCTGCTGCTGATGATGATGATGATGATGATGCTGATGCTCCTGATGCTGCTGCTGCTACTGCTGATGATGATAGGGGTGCTGATGCTGCTGCTGCTGTTGATGATGATGGTGATGATGATGAAGATGATGATGCTGCTGCTGCTGGTGATGCTGCTGCTGACGGTTATGGTGGTGGTGCTGCTGCTGCTGCTGTTGCTGCAGCTTGTTCTCATCCTGCTGCTGCTCTTGCTGTTGTTGTTGTTGTTGTTGTTGTTGTTGTTGTTGTTGTTGGTGTTGTTGTTTTTGGCGGTGGTGGTGGTGGTGGTGTTGTTGCTGGTGTTCTTGTTTGTTCGCATCTTGATGCTGCTGATGCTGCTGCAGCTATGGGATACTCTCATCCTGCCGCTGCTGCTGCTGTCGGTGCAGATCCTGGCTCTTGTTTTTGTTTGCTGTTTTGCTTTCACTCCTGTTGCTGCTGCTGCATGATGTGTTGCTGCTTCTGCTCTGTTGCTGCTCCACGGTCAGATGAACCGCTGCTGTTTGTGTTGCTGCTGTGGCTGCTGCTGGGGTGGTGGTGGTGGTGCTGCTGCTGGTGCTGCTGCATGCATGCATGAACTCCGTGCATGCATACATTCATGCATCCATGGAAAGATGTGGGGTGCTTGTAAATACTGCTTACTCTGTTGTATTTGTTACAAACCGACTGCAGTGCGGTGACCTGCTGTCTATACACCTCAGCCTTCTCATGAATTGCTTTGGCTCCAGCAGGAACAGGGAGATGCTGCAGCTGCATATATTTAACTTCTGTTAGCAGCTGCCTCAACTGAGGGTGAAAGTTTGCATGCAACAGCAACTCGGGAGAACGCCGCAGCAAAACCAGACCTAACTTTGCTCGAGATGGCTCCACCTCCCGCTCGCTCCATTCGCTCCGCTGTACATGCATACATCCCAAACCACAAACCCTAAACCCTAAACCCCAAACCCTACAAAGCCCTAGGACCTACATTTTTTACCCGAAAGCCTAACGTTTCAACCATGCATGCATTAAAGACAAACTACAAACCCCACACACAAAACCACAAACCCTAAACCCTGAAATCTAGACCCGAAAACCTGAACCCTAAACCCTATACTCTATAGGTGAACTGTTATATATGATTTTGAATTCATCAGTGTTTAAGTATACATATATACATGCATGCATGCATGCATGCATGAATGTATCAATGCATGCACCCAGCCAATGCTTTCGTAAGGGCGTTTTTCACTCCTGTGTGCATGCGCTGCAAAGCATGCATGCACACAAGCACCCATTGCATGCATGCTCCCACTGCATGTGTGCATGCACCCACTGCATACATATATGCATGCGCCCATTACATGCATGCATTCACCCATTGCGTGTACCCACCACATGGATGCTCCCACTGCATGCATCCATGCGCCCATTGCACGCATGCATGCACCCCTCGCATGTCCGCATGCATGCATGCACGTGTTTGCATGGATGGATTGTGTGTGAGTTTACGATTTTTTCTTGGAATTGTTGAATTGCCGCGATGACCCCGTAGCACTGCTTGGTGACAGGTTCAGTATCTGCATTTGTTGGAGAGAGGAGAATTCCTAATTTCTGCATGCGATCAAGGGGCTCCTTAATGCGGCTAAGAAGAGCAGCAGCCCAGCTAAGAGCCTTTGCAACTGGGGGGCGATTAATATAGATAAAGGTGTTGTTGTTGTTGCTGCTGCTGCTGTCGCTGCTGCTGCTGTTGCTGCTGCTGCTGCTGCTGTCCTCGCTGCAGCCGCTAAGAAAGAGCGCATGCACTGTCTGCACTTCTTCCTTCAGCTGTTGTAGCAGCTGAGGGTGGTGGTAGGCTGCTGCTTCCTTCAGGGAAGGGCGAGATAGTAAAGGGCTAAATGCCTCAATCAGCCTCAAGCGAGACAACAAAGAAGAACTATCACAAAAACTCATCGAAAATACTGCAGCAAGACGCTGCTCCAAATCCTTCACTCGATTCCTAAACAGCAAACACTCACTTTCTTGTTTGTTGCTCCAAGCAGGGTTTACAGCTTAGGGTTTAGGGCTTATGGTTCAAGGCGTAGAGCTTAGGGTTTGCGGCTTATGGTTCATGGTTCAAGGCTTCGTGTTTAGGGTTTAGGGTTTAGGTTTTACGGCTTACAGTTCAGCGTTCAGTGTTGAGTGTTTAGGGTTTAGAATTTAGGGCTTAGCGATTGCGAGTGTAGGGTTTAGGGTTTATTGCTTGGTGCTTGGGGTTTAGACCGTAGGGTTTAGTGTTTGTGGCATACGGTTAGTGTTAGTGTTTCGTGTTTCGTGCTCAGCGTTGAGTATTTCGCGTTTAGGGTTTAGGTTTTAGGTTTTAGGGTTTAGGGTTTAGGGTTTCGCACCTGAATAACTGGAAGTGTGCATCTGCTTCTTTTTCTTGAATATCGAGCAGATCGAATTTAATTTGCTGGAATTCCTCCATTAATTCTTTGAACTCTGCATGCAGCCGCTGCACGTTAGCAGAGAGCTGGTTGCCTGGGGGAGGAAAGAAGAAAAGGCAAGAAAGAAAGAAATGAGAGGAGATATAAACTGGAAAAGGAAAATGAAATGAAACGAAAAGAAAAATATCAAGATAATTAAGAGAAACGAGAAAAAGAGAAAAGGAACAGATAAAGATAAGAAAAGAAAACGAAGAGAAAGGCGAGAGAAGCAAACGGTGAGAAAAGAAAAAGAAAAGAAGAGGGGAAAAGAAACAAAAAGCAGAGAAAATAAAGAAAAGAGAGGAGAAAAGAAGGGGAAAAGAAACAAACAAAAGCAATGACACCAAAAGAACGCAAACGAAACAAACTGCCAAACACTAAAAATCTCAAGTCCTTAGCCTAGACGCTAAACCCTAAACCCTAAACCCTAAACCCTACACCCTAAACCCCAAACCCTAGGCGCCAACCGTTAAGCCATAGATAGGCCCAAAACTCTAAACCCCAAACTCCAACCCTTCACCCCTAACCCCGCAAGCCCTAACCCCTATCCCCCAAACTCTAAACCCTAAACCCTATACCCTAAACCCTAAACCCTAAACCGTCATGTTTTGCGTTACCTTTGGATCCGCAGATTTCGATTTTTTCAAGTTTATCGAATTGCTGCGCTGTATTTACAACAGAAGAAAGAGCGGCATTTCTGCTGCAGTAGGAGTCAAGACGAAGAAATATAATTTTTTTATTTATATTCCACGGCTTTCCTGCTGCTGCTGCCTCAACAGCATAGCCCTCATATAAACTCTTCATCAAGTCGCACACCTGCAGCAACACCCAGCAGCATCCAGCAGCAGCAGAAACAGCAGATGCACCAGTAGGTGATGCAGCAGCCACACGTGCAGCAGCAACACTGCTGCGTAAATGGCTGCTGCAGCAATATATAGAGCACCAGCAACATATGTTGCAACACGAGCAGCACCGGTAACAACTGCAACAGCAGCAGATGCAGCAGCAACAGCTGCACCAGCAGCATCGGCTGCTGCCGCTGCAGCAATGAAGGCCCCAGCACCAGCAGGAACGCTTTCATTGCAGCAGCAGCAGAAGCAGCAGCTGCTGCTGGTGCAGCTGCTTTAGGCGTACTTCGAGTGCAGCGGCGAGTTTATCTGCTGCTTCTTTTGCTTCGTCTTGCTGCAGCAACTTGAAGACCTCCGCTCCAGAGACAAAACGCATGCATTGTTTTATGATTGCGTTGCTGATGCCTCTCAGCAGCAAAATGAGTCGTGTGGGCTTTTTAAACGTGCTGCAGTGCTGCGATGCCAGCAGCAGCAATTCAAATAAAGGAGGAAGTGCTGCTGCTACTGCTGACAACTCAGCCGTCTCATCCGTTAACTTCTTCACCCTGCAGCAGCACAAATACACCGAAATTAAACCCTGCTGCTAATGATGCTGCTGTTGTTGCTGCTGCAGCCGTTACTGTTGCTGCTGCTGTTGCTGCTGCTGTTGTGTTGCTGTTGTTGTTGGCGCTGCTGCTGCCACTTGTGCTGTTGCTGCAGCAGTAGCAGCACCGATAGAGAGAAAAACAGAAGCAACAAAAGCAGCAGCTGCTGCTGCAGCATCAGACAGATAAGAAGCAGCAGTATTAGGAGCAGCCGCAGCGAAAAAGAAAACAAACTATGACAAAACAACAAACGAGCAAACAAACAACAAAAAATAAACAACAAAAAACAAACAAAATAAAAACAAAGACAAGCAAAAATAGTGCCAGACGAAGGCAGCGAAAAACAAACAAACAAATACAAACAAACAAAGACATCAAATGCTGCTGCAGCAAGTGCTGCTGCAGCAAGTGCTGCTGCAGCAAGCTCACCAGGGCTGCAGCAGGCCAAGATATTTCGCGTTCTCCTTTGCTTCTGCTTGGGCTTTGTTTAATTCCTGCAGAAGATTAATAAATGCTGGGTAGTAGCTGCTGTTTTGTTGCTGCAGGAAAGACAACACCTGCTGCACATGCTGCTGCTGCAGCTGCTGCTGCGCGAAGGATAAGGCAGCAAAGCGCTCAATCCAAAAATCTATCTCCTCTTGCGCATCCGCGCTGCGACCTGCAGCACCAGCACCAGCACCAGCAACAACAGGAGCAGCAGCAACAGCAGCAACAGCAGCGGCAGCAACAGCAACGGGTGAAATATGAAAGCAGTACGCAGAACAGCAGCAGCAGCAGCAACAGCATCATCAGCAATAACGGCAGCAGCAGCAACAGCATCAACAGCAGCAGCAGCAAGAACTGCAGCAGAGACAGCGAAACACCAAACAACGCCAGACAAAACCAAACAAAGACAACAACACGAAGAAAGAAGCAGCACAACAAAAACAAAAGCAAAAC